ACTGCATCATTTTGATGTGTGGTTTTTATGTGAGCTAGAAAGCAGTATCTACTGCAATTTTCATTCTTCTTTGATCACTTGATTAGATGGAAAGAATTCAATTTAATGAATCCCTTACATCCTACATGAATGGTAAGCTGGCAAGCAGACACTAACGCAGCCACTAATGGGACTTCAAACTCTCATCATGTAAGAGGAATATCTTTTTTCCAAAAAGATACTAAAATACCAGTAATTACTAGGATTGTTTTCAATCCTCATATAAGCAGTATAAGTGTGTATAATTATCTCACCACCATGACAAACAATGCAACATGAATAAGATAAACACAAAGGAATGTTTGGAGCTCCAGATCACACACCAATGAGCAGGTGCAAGTTCAGACATTCGGAATACTCCCAGAGATATAATACTGTGCACACGTGGCATTCAAACTCGATATTATGGGTGCCTGATATATCACAGAGGTGTGGAAGAGTGTGAGAGTTTTGTCTGGTTTCACATTGGTTAAATGCTATTAGCTTCCTACCTGTGGAAAACATGACATGGCTTCCATATTGACTTTGTTCCAGACATGCAAATAGGCTGCACAGAATGACACTATTCCTAACATGGTGTTTGTGCACTTCAGACATTTATTTCATTAAAAACCAGGACTGCCACAACTCCCTAAACAGAGGAGTTTTAGTCACGTCATGTTTGTGGGTCAGGGCTATGCTGCTAGGTCACGTTCCAACCCTGCTTGGCCAGTGCTAAATGTCGAAAATGGCAGCTTACGTATTTGCAGGCAGCTACAAATGTCCTTTATCAAAAATCATTAAATTTTGAAAGTTAAGTTTTTGTTTGTTTACATTGTGCATAATCCACATATAATCTCGTTACCTGAGAATGACAGGCTTGCCAGCATTAGCTTACCTTGCTAAAACGAAAACCTCACTAGCTTTCTAATGGCTGCATGTCTTGATTTATGGACTTTAGATAAACTTAAATGGGTGCAAAATAAATGATAGAAATTTTAAGAGTTATCCAATTTGTCACACATGCATCTGATCTGACCATTCCTTTCACAGCTCTTTTGTCTTCCTCTATTTTTTGGCATCTGGATGGATATATCTGTTTAGCCATTGTGGAGAGAGACATAAACTATGCCATTTTCAATTCTTGGAAGGAATAAAATATTATGACGCAGGGGACTGGCTACAGGGCGTTTTAAAGGTATCACTGTTGTTGAGAGAGATGATCCTAAGTCAGTTGTCAATGACAGAAAGTAATATCACAATGATACCTTGGAGGGGGCCTTTTTTCTTTGAAGTTATAGGATTTTTATAGCACAAAATTAAACAAAAGTTTTATGACTGGTTAAAAAACGCTGTCAGGGGCCCGCTGGCAGCCACAGGGGCTCTATGCAGTGATATAATGCCCATATGCCAGGAACAGGCAATGTGAGTGTGGACTACAGAACAGTGTTTGCTACAGAGCCCAGTTACCAATCTGCCTCTCTGGAAGTGTTAGCTCCGGCTTCACACTACACCCATTATCATGGTTTTTGTGAAAGGCCAAATGAGTGTCCGCAAAGCAGGCTGATCCAAGCTCAAGTCAAATCAAATTTATGAGGGCAAGAAAAGCTAAAGATGTGACCATGCCCTGTCATATGTGTTTTGTCAACTCACATTTAAGTAAGGATCACTTTGATCCTGTTTTCTTTGTCCCAAGACTGATCATTTTGTGTAACTAGATGTTTGCACCATTTCATTCACATGTGGTTTGTTTTTTTTACACTTCCTGGCTCTCTAAACTTCCAGGGAGTCACATCAATGAGGTAACTTGTTATAAAACTGCAGTTAAACTTTACTTTCATTGTAAGAATAATGCACCAGGCCCTCCAACACAACTCCCTGCAAGACCACATAACTGTATCCACACACTTAAACTTATATGCTTTAATTTCAGATTTCAGTTTAAATGTTTGAGCTTCCAGTCGATTGGGAGTGTCCTTTGCTAGTTCCCAATATCCTGTTACTTGATAATAAAAGGCTTGCCAACATAAGCTTACCCAGATAAACTGAAAGCCAACAGAAAAACCTAACTAGCTGCTTATTCCTAATGGCTGCATATTTTGATTTTTAGACTTAAGGTCAACTTAAGTGGGTGCATAAAATAGATGATACAATTTTTAAAAATGATCCAATTTGCCACACATTTCTGTTATAACGATTCCTTTCACTGCTCTTTTTTCTTTGTCTCTTTTTGGCATCTAGATGGATATATCCTTTTAGCCATTGTGGAGAGAAACATAAAAATATGCCATTTTCAATATTTGTCTTTTACATTAGCTGGTAGTTCATTATAGTTAAAATTGTCACTGTTGTTGAGAAAGATGATCCTAAGTCAGTTGTCAATGACAGACAGTAATATCATATCAATAATCAATATGGAAGTTATAGGATTTTTATAGCACAAAATTAAACAAAAGTTTTATGAATGGTTAAAAAACGCTGTCAGGGGCCCGCTGGCAGCCACAGGGGCTCTATGCAGTGACATAATGCCCATATGCCAGGAACAGGCAATGTGAGTGTGGACTACAGAACAGTGTTTGCTACAGAGCCCAGTCACCAATCTGCCTCTCTGGAAGTGTTAGCTCCGGCTTCACACTACACCCATTATCATGGTTTTTGTGAAAGACCCCATGAGTGTCCGCAAAGCAGGCTGATCCAAGCTCAAGTCAAATCAAATTTACGAGGGCAAGAAAAGCTAAAGACACCACACGATACCCACAGTGACCATGCCCTATCATATGTGTTTCCTCAACTCACATTTAAGTAAGGATCACTTTGATCCTGTTTTCTCAAGACTGATCATTTTGTGTAACTACATTTCAGTCACGTGTGGTTTGTTTTTTCTTACCCTTCCTGGCTCTCTAAACTTCCAGGAAGTCACATCAATGAGGTAACTTGTTATAAAAGTGCACTTAAACTTCACTTTCATTACATGAATAATACATCAAGGTCTGAATCTTTTGTTTGCCGTCAACAATCAAAACAAATGATAAACAGCGGTTAGCATAGCCGTTTGATATCTGCATTTTATTGCTTTTTTATAATACCAAACATGGAACAGCTGCAGTGAGTTAACGGACTCATCGTTTTGACAGCCTGCTCTCATGACTGGAATCGTGACTCATCATAATGAAATACAAAGCTTTAGTTTCTTAGCACTTATCCAGGGTGAGATACACAGCTCACAATTTAGCTGTTTTCCGTTTGTGCAGCTTGGGGGTTTTTTCCACCGAAACAAGTCAGGTGAAGCTCTTTGTTCAAGATTATAACAGACGTACTCCTCCTGGGATTTTAATCTCTACCACTCTGATTGTCAGCAGTGTTTCTCAACTAACATGCTAAAATGCTGCTCCAAGAGGTTAATAATATGAAACACATGCACACACGCATGCACACACACTCAAAACATACTGTATTGTTGCTACATGTTGTCAGTTACACTTGGATGGCGGAGAAAGAAAGCATAGGGTGAGTGTGCATAGTTTTCACTAAACAATGGAACATCACTAAACAATGGAGTCACCCAAACCAGTTCTGTATAACATCTAAAAGCTAGGACGGGCTGGAACTGAAAACATGTAACATAAATACAGAACAGGCAAACTCAGTACAAAAACACAGCCATATGAGGAAGAATAAATAGTTTGTTCAGATTGTGTGAAATGATGTGCAGTTTTTTTCCAAGGAGACATTCATTCTCCTGATTTTCCAATATTCAGACATTCTACCAGAATAGCAGAATTATCATAGTCAGCCATTTTGGATGTGGCAAACAAAAAAGCCAAGTACTGTAGCTAAGCAACAGCCTAAAATTATTGTGAAATACTACATGATCCTGTTTGGAATGGAAATTTTTACATTTTAGTGGCCAGAGAATATCATGTATTTGTGCAAAAATGATTGCACTAATGGGGAAATAAATTTAAATTCAAAACTATTGATCACTGAGGAGTAAGTGAAAATACTACTATTATCTCATTAATCAAATTAATTTGCTTGAAATAAGTCTAAATGAGTTTATAATCATCTGAGACCTACTTAAAGTATTGCTATTCATTCACAATGTTATTGTTAATCACTTTCAAAACGTTAACATTTTAAAAATAAAGAAACAAAGTTATTTCAATATTTACAGTAATTTGGCATTGCCACTCACACATCTTGGCTATCTTGGATGTTGGTATTGTCGTGTTTGGAACACGCCTTGCTGATGTTTCCCATCCAATCAATGTTACCAAAGAGACTAAACATGAGAAGTAAACAGTGAGTGAGCAGTGAAGTCATGAACAGATCCTGGCCATAACATGCCGCACGAGTCTCGTTCCTTTGTCATTTTCGGAAGGAACAGCAGTGCAAGGGAATTATTTTGGAAGTGTACTCATAACCTTTAAAACAATTAAGGTGCCACACAGCACAGTCCAGAAGTCTCGGGTAACATGAGATGAGTCAAGGATCTTTTCGTTATGTAATCAAAGGTTAGTCCAGAGATGTCTCATGTTTTTGGACAGAGATATGTATACTCAAATGCACCACGAGGCCAGTTAAAAAAGAAAACAATTTTATCCCAATAGTCAAAGTGGTGTCCTTATGCTCATGCACATTGTTTAACTGTGTAACCTTTGACCAGGGTAACCAGCCTCCGATTAAGCAGTGGCCTATGAGGTAACCCATTGAATTTTATAATACAGTTGATGCTTATTTGAACACAGCAGATTTTCAACTCTGAATGCAAGTGCATTGAGTCCATCCAAGCCCTCTGGTGATGTCTGGGCATTGTTTACGAACTGACATTTACAGACAGTTACACTCTTGGCACAACAGCTTTTCATGCTCCCAACAATTTGGGGGGTGACGAAACCCTCCCGACTGTGCCAACTCATGTCACTCTTATAAATGGGCCCACTTTCCCATTGAAAATGTCTGCAGTTGTTTTGTGCATATGCACCAGGATGGCCTAGTGGTTAAGGCATTGGACTTAAGATTCAATGGATGTGTGCTTGCGTGGGTTCAAACCCCACTCCTGGTAAGATAAAGACTTTAGTAGTGGTAAGCAGGGAACTCATAACCAAAAAGGTGCTGGGTCCCCATTAGGGCACTGGTGTTGTACCCTTGGGCAAGGTACTTACATGGATATGGATAAGAGTGTAAGCTAAATGAGGACAATGTAATTTAATGCACATATCAAGTAACATTTATTTAAACCATAAAACCGATATAAATATAAAACTATCAGGGCAGCACTGTGGCATAGGCGCTCAGACATAAAAAAGAAACAGTCCTGTTGCAGCTTTAAGTAAGCCTCATCTCCTGAATTTCTTCAGCAAACATCAATCTAAAATTTAAGCTGTGAGAGTTGTCCTGGACATGACAATCTCAGATGTGAATGGATACATAAATAAATAAACAAACATAAATTTCCTAAGTTGCTAAATTCCTCTATCAAAATTGTCACTTGGTAATTGTCACTTGGTACTTCCAGATATGCAGAGAATATTAATACTTGACTTACAACAAAGAAACTAATCTGACACTCCTGGTGATAACATAACCTAATAAAACAAGTTATACTGAAGATTGACAAAGTCAACGTATCACTGGAGGCCTTATGGTTCATTATATTAACAATTAAAATTTTAACAATTTTGATGGAACTGAATCTAACAGTCGCCCTGGCTAAATGGAGGTGGTTTATATGATGGGAAGTCTTCGGAAAATAAACAATCAGAAATGAAAAGTGTAATCAAACAAGCACATATTTTGAAGGTTGTAGACTTATTTCATTTTGACAAATGGGATGCAGATTTTGCCTATCAAACAAAGATTTTTGAAATTATTTACAAACAAATCCCAAATTACAAGATGTGAGGTGGGGAGTTATACTGCTGTACCTACATGGGTCCCGCAGTTAAGCACCATCCAGCATTTTTCCTACAGAAATAATCTGTAGGAAGCCAAAGACCCTGAAGTCTAAGTCCTTAAAAATATTTACATCTGTTCCATCTAATTTAAGAACTCATTTTGGATTCAGCTTCATAAGGCCACACCATTAAAAAAAATGGACCTTCATCATCTTGTCCTAACGAGACTTTTTGACCGTTACTTCATCCTGTTTGGATATCCTAAAATGTATCATGTCTTTTTCACAGCAACATCTGTTTATGACAGCCAGTTTCAAGTTAGCTGCCTCCTCTGACACACAAAGCATAACCTATATTACTGCGATTGTGTAATATCACTGGAGCAAGAAGCTCTTTATATGTTATGCCGCAGCATGGCCTGAAAGAGTTTTGCAAAGGATTGGATTGATCCCTCTGAAAGCTTTAATAGCATGAGCAATACCTGGCTGCTTCTTTGCAAGAAAACTAGGCCTGCCATAAAACGCAGCTGTAAATGTAACACTCTCTACGCTCTCGCTATTTCACCTTGACATAGATGGCAAAATGAGAGAACACAGGGCCAAGTTACATGGAAGAACTGAGGAAAAAACGAGTGGCATTGATTTGTGATGGTGCTTCTTTTGCGTGTATGAGGTAATGTGGCCAAAACTGTTAGCTGCAAGTTGTCAAAACATTCATATCAATATGTTGAATGAGACACCATATGTTGACGCACAGGGAATACATGAAGTAAATTGGTGTTTTTGTATGTTGCAACCTTTGTTTGATCCTGAATTACAAAACACAGTGGAGAACAAATTCTGCCTCCAAAAATCACAACAGTTCAAGAAAAAATAATTTGATTGGTGGGAGGGAAAACTCATTTGGCCAGTAAAATATACAAGGGCTTGAATAACACAAATACATCAACTGACGTTCAATAGAAACATTATGGGAGAGAGACCTCCGAGATGGTGAGCTTATGGAAGGGTAAGCACAAAAAAACCACTCACTGGAAAACAAGCTGATGTATTACAAGTTTATTCAAAGGCTTTATTTCAAGACAGGGAAATTAGAGCTAATAGAGGCCAGTAAAAATGACACAAGCTGGCATGGTAAAAAGGATGATTTATTCATTTTAGTTGGAAACACTCAAAATTTGTAAAATATTGGACTCTGATTGTAAATATATTTTTCAAAATCGCGGGGAAGAAGATATCTCTGGATCCCAAAGTATGCATTTTATATCATTTGGAAGATGGGGAATGGAACAAATATTATCAATTGCCTGTATGAGTTCAAAATGTTAATTACAAATTAATATGGAATACAGAATATGGCAATAAGGAGGTGTGGTTCCATTCATACCTGAACATACTGATGTTGGAGGAAACGTCTTGTGACCTAACAGTCACACACAATGAACTATGAAGTTTGGAAATGGACAGAAGGAAGAGTTCAACATGTTAATGTTTATCCTTGAGTGAACTTTTAATAAACACACCCATCACATATATTTATGTACCTTAGGTATCACATATCACTTAATTGACTCGTCTGTGTTGGTCCTTGCTATGAAATGACATATACCTGTTGTCATGAAAAAAATTGAATACATGTTTTAAATTTATAAAAGAAATCTTCCGCCCACTCTCACCACTTCTAATTTACACTGTGTTGTGACTGCCAGGCAGAAGTGTGGTTGACGGGCTTTGCAAGACATCAGCGTGAATTAGGGATAAAGCGGCGAGGCCTGGCAGACGCTGGCGTTCCTTTGAAATGAACCTGGCCCTCGTGACAGGATAAACACTCGCACACTATCACTGGCATACCGTACAGGAACAGAATTTCTCCATTTCCTTTGATCAAGCTATAAGGGAGCAAACCGAGAGTAAGGATTAAACTAGGTCGCAGCTGAAATCCATTACCCTCCTTTCCTAGATCCAAAAAACGTTTAAGGGCACATGTACAAAGAATGAGAGCTATCCAATTGATTATTCCTATAGTAATTCATTTAATTTTATGATTTTTCCTTATTTTATATTGCACTAAGCAGAGCTTGATTATAACATGCCGGCTGCATAATAAGGGCTTTGATAACTTTCACATCTTGAATAAATATTTTGAACTCTTGCCACCAGGGCATTGAAGTCATATATAATCAATTATACATTCTCACACACTTATAAAAGTTATATCTTTTCAAGATTTCAAAGCTTTAAAGGCCCTTATTATGCAACTATATATGTATATATATATATACATATATATAAAATGATGAAGCAATTACAAGAGCTGAACTGAGCACCACTGTAGTGATTATTGTTATTATAGCTCTTAATGTAGCTATAAATAGTATATTATAACTATACATATGATTATAACTATTATTTGTGCTTAGTAAGTGTAAATACCTGTAATTTTTAATCCTAATTTAGATTTGGGCTGCATATTATGCAACAAGGCAAAACAAAATGAAATATGTTTGTCTGTATGGCAGAATCATTTAGTGTGATATAAACTAGCATCAGACTTATTCTATGCTGGTTGCTAACCCAATATAATCATATCTAATTTAGCCATCTTGAGATCTCTGTGAGAGCATTATAATTGCTCCCTGCACAAACTTACCATCATGCCAAGTAAGAATATTTTCCTTGATCCCCACAAACTTTACAAACACATGCTCATTGAAACAGTTTTTCTGCACAGATGAATTTGAGGAGACATGTTTAATAGGATTTCCCCTTCTGTCTCAGCATCCTCTGACTGTACCACTTCCCCTCCATTAGACTAATTCTTCCTTTTGTAAATGTGTCTTAAAACAGTGATTATTCTGCTTGAGAAGGCTAACACCTCAGGTGGGCTAACTGACAGTTTTTGTTTGTTACAACAGTCCTTAAAATAGACAGATATATTTTCACTGACATTATTTTTTAATCCCTTTTCCCGTGTTATGCAACACTGGTTGGAATCACCAATTGTACATTAGGCTTGTCTCACCACAGGGGTGTTGAGGCAAGATGAATGCAATCCATTGATACATTTGCTTGCAGCTAATAGCTATTTTTGCACCACAGGTTCACCCCAGTGATGTGGGTGCCAATTGGAGGATAGTCGCTACTCTACTGATATTGTCTGGGCAACTTGCAGGGGCCTAACACATTGCAGGGTGCCTGCGAGTATGGAAATGAGGAAACCCTGGCCGACCTACCCGGCCCATCCCTGGCGGAATGAAGCAAGAATGACCTCACCACCCATAAATTCACAAACCTGTCACCAGTAGAACCTCAAGGTAGAAAGTGCTCAGACACGCAGAATTGTATTTTGTCATGTATTTTGTCATGTAAAAGACATAATGGCAGCTGACAGGCTACTGAAAAACCATTTTTTTCCTTAGAAGAAATAGGTGCTTTTGAGAAAATGCAAACCTGCAATGCACAGAGACTGAGAGGAAGTGTTTCAGAATGCTTTGGTGTCATGATATTTCATAACACAGGCTTTCAATCTTATTATTGGGCAATGGAAAAATCTGCAGAATCCATCTCCCTAAAGTGTGAAGTGTCCTTTTTCTGTAAAATAAAAACACAAATATAACTGACAAAAAGGCTGTGGAAAGAATGTGGAAACCCCTTGTCATTTGTCAAAAGTACATTTAAAAGTCATTTTTTTGCAGCCAGAATATGTGCGTTATTCTATAGCAATTCACATCACTTGTGCAATTTATAATCATTTTTGCTTATACTTTATCCCTTTTTGCCAGTACGCATACTGTAGAGGAGAAGAGGTAAAAGCAGGATAGCAAAGACATAAAAAAGTTCTTCACAGAATTCTGAGCTTTATTGTTGTTAAATTCATGTTACTGTGGCAAGACTATGCTAACTTCATGAAATTGCACAAAATGCAAATTGGTTCTTCACCAAAAAAAAGTTCATACCTTTTTGTATGTCTAGTGCTAGGCCGTGTCGATTGATACAGCAAGGACTGAACACAGGAATGATTTGTGTAAGCATAAAACTCCACAAGGCACACAGTGTGATATCCAGCCATTATATTTTTCTTCCATATTTCGGAAACATTAACATGATTTTACTATCTACTGACACAATGCCTTGAGTCACCACAGTTATGAGCAGGACAACTTTCCTTC